TGGGCCGGGCCTCTGCGAGCTCCCTGGGGAGCAAGGTCGAGACGGGGCGCCTGTGTGCGTGCCCGGTGGAGAGGCTCGGTCAGCAGGCCCCGGTCGATGTCCCTTTCTGCGCTTGCGGGCCCAGGGAGCAGCCCGGTGAAATATTCTTGGAGCTGCGGGTGGGTGGAGGTGAGAGCCGCCTCTCTGCACACCCGGTTTGGGCTTTTTCTGCAGCTGCTTCCGGAAGGGGATTCCTCAGGCCTGAGCTGGGAGCGGGGAGTACGGTAGGGCGGCGTTGCCCACCTCGGCCAAGGTTCAGCTGTTGCCACGCGACCGGCCAGGCTTCCCCTGGGACTCTGCCATCCCTGTTTGGGGGTGACGAAGGGCGGGCATCAGCTTTGCGTGGGCTGGGAGGCATCAAAGATCGGCTCCCCTGGGTGGCAGGAACTTGGGCTGGAACTCAAACTGGGACCGAGGAGCATCTCTAGCTGGGACGCAGGGAGGGGGCGGTGGAGGTGCTGGGTGCAGCCTCCCCTCCCAGCTGCTGCTGCGCACTCCTGTTTCCCAGCTGCCTGCCCAGGGTCGGTGACCTACTTGGGTGCCTCGCAGGCCCCTCGACCTCAGCACACCCCAGCTGTGCGCCTGACCTGCATTTCCCCAGCATGTAGCACGTGGCAGCACCGTCACCCAGGGGTTCAGGCCCAAGCCGGACGACCCTTGACTCCTCTTTCGCTCTTACCTTCGCCACCATCTGGGTCACCAGAAGTCCTGTCCTTGGAGCACCACCCCAAAACAGCTCATGGCTTCGTGCTTTTCCACCACCTCTATGCCAGCACCTGGCTCCGGGTCACTGCTGGCTCCTGCCTGAACCAGGGAGGAATCTCCTGCCGTCTGGGGTCTGGGTAGTCAGTGACCCTCATGCACTTGGTCAGGGCATGGCTTGTGGCTGAGCTGTCTTAATTCAGCCAAGCTGTGTTTTGGCTCAGGACCTTGGCGCATGGATCCCTTTGCTTGGCATGCTTTCTTTTTTCCTTTAAACGATTATTACTGATAGTTTTTGCAGTGTCCTTTATCTCAGTTACTCCAGTCTGTAAGATCAGGGCCTTCTGTGGCATAACCCGGACTGGGTGTGGCCCAGTGCCTGCCCACAGTGTGCTTGAGGGCCTGGGTTCCACCCAGCACAGAACAAACCAACCCTCAGATCACATGCAGGAAACTGAGCGTCTGTGTCTAATATAAAGCCCAGGTGCACATATTTCCATGTGTCCCGGTGGTGCCTTGCAGGTTCCCTGCCCCCGGCCCCACAGTCCAAACCCTGAGACCACAAGCCGGGTCCCCCGTCTCTCGGTTTGGAGGCGTCGCCCTGCGCGGCAGGAGCGCTGGGTACCTTTGGATGCTCTGCTTGTATTTCCCTCGCCTTACCCCTGAGGCATTGGGCTCCTCCTCACCTGTCAGATCTTAGCTCAAGTGCCACTCTCTCCAGAGCCTCCCGGGCCACCCTGTGCATTCTGCCCCCTCGGCTTGTTCTCCAGCACCGAGGTGGCTCCGCGTGACTGGAGGAGGAGGTGCGCCCACAGCCTCGCCCACAGGTTGGGCTCCTGTGTCCCCCGGCCCCGATGGCCCATGCTCGGCTGCACTTCGGTGGGGCAGCTCTGAGGAGGGGGCTGCTGTCAAACCCTGGAGAGGGTGGTCTTTCCAATTGGTCTTTTCTCTTTGGGGCCTTTGTGCCTCACAGAGAATGTGAGATTTAGTTTGGACTTGAGGGATGTGTAGGGGTTTGCCTGGGAGAGAAAGGGAGGTTGTGATTTTCAGACACAAAGGAAACCCAAAGGCAGAGACCCAATAGAGCACTCTCAGTAAGTCTGGACTGTGGGGTGGGAGAGAATAGGGGATAGGACCCTAATTGTCGGGCTGGACCTTGATTCCAGACCGGGAGTTGGGGTGGGCCCTGAGGCAGGTGATGGAGCTGTGCTTTAGAAAGCTCACTGGGGCTAGGTGTGGTGGCGCACGCCTGTAATCCCAGCACTCGGGAGGCTGAGGCAGGAGGATCGCTGTGAGTTCGAGACCATCCTGGGCTACACAGCGAGTCCCAGGTCAGTCTCAACTACATAGTGAGACCCTGTCTCAAAAAACCAAAAAAAAAAAAAGAGCTCACTGGGATTGCGGGAGGAGGGGGGCATCTGGGTGGGGGCCCTGCCTAGACTCGCTGCTCCCTCCCCTCCCTCTCCCTGACCCCAGGCCCCTGTCTCCTCCAGGTGAGGGAGGACTGGAAGTATGTCGCCATGGTGATTGACCGCCTGTTCCTCTGGGTCTTCGTCTTCGTCTGTGTCTTTGGCACCGTCGGCATGTTCCTGCAGCCCCTCTTCCAGAACTACAGCCCTGCCGCCTTCCTCCGCCCTGACCATTCGGCTCCCAGCTCCAAGTGAGACCTGGACACTGCCCCCTCGCCCCTCCTCCTGTCACACAGCCGCATGGAGGACAGACGTGCAGGCTGCTGGGAGGGGCGCGCTGCCCCCAGGCCCGTCCTCCTGCTTCACCTGGGCCCACACCTCCACCCACACAGCCAGCTGCGGCCTGGAGGCCTGGACTGGCGCACAGCGCTGGCTGCCCCCCTTCCCACCAGCTGAGGTGGGGACAAGGTGAGCCTGCCCATGAGGAGGACAGGAGGACTGCGGTCTCCACCTCACAGGAGGGAAGGTGGGCTGTGGGGGAGCGCAAGAGGGGCAGGAGCATGAACTGTGCAGCAGCCTGGCTGACGTGGGCGAGCTGGAGAGGAACGAGGTCACCTGGCGTCCACTCTGCCTCAGTGGACCTCGGCTCACAGCACAGAGGCTCCCGCCTGGCCCTGCAGTCCGCTCCTGGAGGCTTCTGTGCCTCCGAGGGGTCCAGAGCATGGCCCAGGTCCCCCGCTGCCTGATGAGGAGTTCTCTGCATACCGACTTCCCTCTTGTCCCTTTCTTCCACCCTCCCCCACCCCCCCCCAGCCCCGGCACGGGGAATTGAACTCAAGACTTTGCACTTGGGATGTGGGCGCGGTGCCACTGAGCTACAACCCGGCTGGAGTCCCTTTCTCACTCCGGCTTAGGGTGTGGTGGGCAAGGCCAGCCCTGTGAGCTCTGTCTTGGGTCTGAGGCCTGAATGTCAGACTGAGGAATGCAGGTTGCACTCTGTAGGAGCTGGCAGAATGTGTTGCATCCATGGATTCCAGCAGGAGCTGTGTTACAGACGAGAACACCTAGCTGAGTGGCCCTCAGCACAGGTACTCACGGGATGGGGAAGACACAGGCGTGAGACTCCCCCACCTGAGCACCCTCCCCGCCTTGACCTGCCTGGCTGCTGAGGGCCGGGACTGAGGGCCTCTCTCTGTCCACTGTGGAGCCGGGCCAGGCAGTGGAGCCTCGCAGACTGGGAGACGGTGCCAGAGTTTGGGGCACTGTCCTGGGCCCTGTGGGCGGCTCCCAGGGGCCCACTGGAGGCTGCGTGGCTGGAGGCCCGGGTCATGGACTGTTGGGCAGCCTGCCCCTTCCCCCGCACGGACCGGCTGTGATTTGTGGTCCCAGCCTGTGCTTGTGCTGGGTCGGCGGATGGTGGGCAGAGGGGTCAGTCGGCCAGGAGCAGTGGGAGAACTGGCCCAGTGCAGGCCGTCCTGTGCCCGAGCTCCGGGGCACCGCTGCTTCTCCCAGCATGGGAGGGGAGGGCACAGCATGGGATGGCATCTGGGTCCAGGGGCCTGGGCCTAGCTTTGCTGTCCTCTCTGAACCGCCAGCTTGCTTGGACCACTAATAGGGGTGTCCTGTCCCTGGGGTCACTGTGGGGCTGGCGTGTGCTTGGGAAGGCCGTCACTGTGCTTCGTGAGTGCGTCTCAGAGCCTGGGAGCCGCCTCCCGCAGAGCAGGCCAGGACCAGGTACCTCCAGCGGTCTGCTGGGCTGGGCTACCCTCCCTGGCAGGACCTGGCCCTGGCCCTGGCCCTGTCTCCCGGGGAGATCTGGACCTGTGTGTGGGTAGCAGCGGAGGCCGACAGTGGCGTAGGTACACAGATGGGCCCAGTGAGGCGGCTGTCTCGGGACCTCTGGAGCAGAGTTGAGGTTGCCGGGACCATGAAGAGGCCCCCACTGACACTAGGGCTCCAGCAGCTGCCCTTGGCGGCGGGCTTCTAACGCGGCCCACCGGAGGCTGTTGTCTGAGCTGGTCGCCAGAGGGCGCTAGGGCTCCACTCCTCTGCCAGGCGTTCCCTCTCTGTGGGGATGAGAAGGGAGGGCGGCGCTGGGCCCTCATCCTCCTCGTGGGTGCCGCGCGGGAGGGCTGTGTTCTCCCTTTGCCGTCTCCCCAAGGCGGGGGTGCCTCCGGAGAGACTGCTGGGCGGAGGAGGCAGAGGAGCTGGGTCGAAACCCGGCACTGGGGTCGGGAGGGCAGGGCGGACAGGCTCGGGGTCGTCCCTGGAAATGGAGATGGCGAGAACAGCTGCCCAGTGGCCATCTGTGGCCCCTCTGGCTCCGCTTCTGCTGGCCGGCACCTCGGCGTGAGGCACACAAGCCTGGAGCGGCGGGGGCTGAGTCACTGACAGCCTGAGAGCAAGTTGGCCCCAAGCGGCCCCAGGCCCTCCACGCGTGCGAGGAAAGCTCGCTGGAGGCGGCGGGGCCCTGGGCGCTGGCCCCGGACTCCCCAAAGCCCGGGATTGGCTGTGTGTCCTGAGGGTCTGCTCGGTGCCGTCTCACAGCCCTGTGGGGAAGGGCTCCAAGCCCAAGGTGCCCCGAAGTGCAGGCTCTCGCTCTCCAGAGGGAAGTGGGCACTCGGGGCCTCAGCACCATCTGTCCAGGCAGAAGTGGGCTGGTGTCCGCCGCCCCTCACAGCCCAGGCCAGATGGCGTGGCAGCACCCTTCGGTGGTTCCAGAGGCCGTCTGAGGCGTCCTCAGGGCCGCAGCTCTAGGAATCAGTAGGATTCTTCCCTCACACAGGCCCTCGGCCTAGCACCACGGTACCAGCTTACCCCAGCCAGACTTTTTAGGAACTTGAGATTCTCCTAAGAAAACTGTTTTCAAAGATGTCTTGTCACTTTGTTCTACTTGGGGGATGTGGTGGCCGGCCAGGGGTTCCCACAGCCAGTGTTGGCAAATGGGGTGAGGGTGCTGTAGAAACAGGACCCACGAGCGGTCAGGGGTTGTGTCCAAGTCTCAGGAAACATGAGTGGCCATGGTCTGCTGTGCGATCCCTGTGGTTTGTTGCCTGCAAAACCACTTATCAGATGGAAAGGAAGTGGCCTGGGCTAGAGCTTGGAAACAGCCCCGGGGAGGCCCCAGTCTGCTCCAGAACTCTGGTTTCGCCTGGCCCCCAACCCGGACAGTGATCTGAAGCGCGGGCCAAGGACACACTTGTGCGGAGTGCACGTGCAGTATTTGCACGGCTCTGGGTCCCGAGCCCCCAGCACTGCAGAGGCCTGGTGAGCAGCCTGGACGAGCCCGTGCCCCTGCCGGGTGGGCCTGTTCCCTGCCACCACAGCCGGCGAGGACACTGTGCCTCCTACAGCACTGCTGGTGTGCACTCTACCCCTTGCCCCACCGTGCGCCCAGCCCACCTCCTGAAAGACTCGGCCAGGACACTCCTGCAGCCTTTATTAGAAATCGCTCAGGGGCTGGCGAGCTAGGTCAGTGGTGCTACGCCTGTCTTGCAAATACAGGTCCTGAGTTAGAAAAAAAAATCACTCAGTTCCAGCACTTTCTGCAGACTGCGATGCCCCGGAGTTCTGGTGGTTAAGTGTGAGGCTCCTGGACATGGCACTGGCTCCACTGTCAGAATGGACACGTCCATGGTGCCTGAGCCTCACTGCCGGCTACTTTGTGTCCACTGGTACGATGGCAGTGTTAGAAGGTTAGGGATGCATCTTTCAGAATTCTGGAGTAAGTCTCATTGTGGAAAGAGGGAGTCACAGCTTTACCCGAGGCGCAAGGGAGCCAGAGCGCATCTCTAATTCCAGCTGCGCTGCAGCTCACTCTACACAGGCCTCTGGGTCCTTCCTGTTCTGGCCTTGAAGCCCCGCCCCAAGGGTCCTATGGCTCTTAGGTGCCCTCTCTCCAGGTCCGTGTCAGACGCAGCTGGTGATGTCAGCCCGGGAGACAAGACTTCACACTTCCTAATTCAGATTTTCTGTTTTTATTTGAGGAATGTATATTTTTAGAATTAAGGGGCACAAAAAGCAGAATCCTAAAACTGGACTGCAGCCATTGTGGCACCAAGGCTATGCCTAGGCTCTCTCCCACTCTGCTCATGGGGTCATGGTCAAGACCCCAAGGCCAACAACGTCCCTTCAACTTGAGTAAAGGAAATAGCTTCAAGCATGGACGAGTGGTTATTCACAATGCACAACAGCCACAGTTCAGACACATCAACTACAAAAGTCATTAAAAAGGGGGAGGAGCCTCCTCAGCACTAAAGACTGGACAGAAGGTGGACACGGTGAAGCTCCACCCCTGTCCGCCGTGGGCCCGCTGTGCTCAGTTCCAGCAGGTGTGGCTGCAGGAGCCTTGCTCCTCCCACAGTGGAACCAGACTACTGCAGGTGCTAGCTAAGCTCTCAGGCTGTTCTCCGAGCCCCTGTGCTCCTCGGGTGAGCGACACAGCTGTGTCAGCCCTGCCCGACCGATGCCCAAGGGGCCAGACGGCCAAACATCCCAAGGAATTACAGTGCAGCCCTCAGCCTGCAGAACCTGGGCAGGGAGGCTTCCTGTCAGGCTGGGCCCACAGCACTGCTCCTCCCCAGGCAGCTACCAGGACATTTACTACGCCGGCAGCTCAGGTCCAAGCTGGTGATATGCAGAGTTGGGGAGCAGCCACTGCCGTCCCTAGGACAGGCGCCAAGTGCTTTCATGTCTGCAGACAGCCTGTGTATGCTAAACACATGTTTTGGTCAATTTTTGGTCACAGGTACAGAAAGTATAAGGAGCCACTGTAAAAGTGCAAACAGGGATGTAGCTACTGTTGGAAGAGGTGGGCCAGACAGCAGTTCGCAGGGTAGGGAGGCACCAAAACTCGAGTGGGGGTCTGGGTGCAGCCCAGGGTCGTCCAGAGCACAGTGGCAGTATGGTCTCGGAGGAGGCAGGGGCTGCACGGTCCTCCTAAGACTCTGGAGCCCCACAGGCTGAACCTCCCCAGGGTTCCAGGCATCGCAGACCACGGTGGAGGTGCACACAGAGGTGACCCCACAGAGTCCGAGGAGGCCTGCCCTTCACCTACAGCTGTGGTCTCCCATCCATCAGGCCGCCCTGCCCACCAGCTTCCAAAGCTACAGCTAAATGAAAACACGGATGAATGGGGAAAAATACATCTGAATTTTAAATCTGTGCAACTAGAGCAATGCATCAACATCTCTGGCATTCTTTTAAAAACTAAATTTACACATGGCTTAGTCAACTTCCCTTGTATCACTGCCATGAGAAGTATACCGGGTGGAACAGTGATCTAACCCAACGTGATTTCTGCCTTTATTCTTGCCATGTCCTGACCATCTGAGTGGAGATGATTGGCCCTCGGGGATCTGGCCTGGATTCTCTCCTCTGGCTGGCTGCGATTACCGCTTCCCTGCACAGGCAGGGCCTACTTCCAGGAATGCGCTGGACTGTGGGGCAGACGGAGCCCGGTGACGCTCCGCGGAATATGTGCCGTCCTGAGGGGAACCTCAGTGACGGCTTGAGCAACTTGCCTTGCCCACTCTGGCTGGCTCTCAGCCCCCTGCTGCCCGGGGAAGGAAGGGACACACTTCCCGAGCAGCAGCTTCTCCAGCTGGCTGCAGGGCAAAAGCCCGATGCCGCGCACGGTCTGCAAATGCCAACTGCGTTTCCATGGGCTCTCCAACTCCTGCCCTCGTGAACACTGCTCCAGACTCTCCAAGCTCACCTCTTTCCCCTCCGGGTGGCTGGGGGGAGCCTGACTGCGGGAAGGACTCAGAAGGGGAGGTGCAGGGGCCTGTGCGTCTGGAGTTCCTGCCACGATCGCAAAGAAATGACCGGAAGCTAATCCAGTCTACAAGAGGTCAGTGTAGCAAACACAGAGGAAAAGGAAGTGGAAAACGCCAGACACAACTGAAGGGGGGTGGGCTGCGGGTGCCTGGTGAGTGTGTATGCTTTTGGTGGAAAAATAAACCCTTTTCCAAACTTCCTCCGAGTCTCTGCTTACCTGGGAAAAAGCCAGAAGCCTGATGAGGCCCTGCCTAGAAACCCCAAAGAAGCAGGACAAATGGGAATCCACAATCCTCAGTATCAGCAATGATGACTCCATTAAAAACAAAAGTCAAAGCAAAACAAAACCGTAAGGCCCTGGCCAATGGATGAGGAATGTGAGGATGCTACAACCTCCCTCTCACCAGCGCGGCAGCCGCCTCAGTCGTTAGGCACCGGGCAGAGGTAGAAGTTCTTCTCCTCCTGGGGTTTGCTTATCCAGTTCCCATAACCCATGTCCTTCAGGCTTCTTTTGAAGTAGTTCTTGGTTATCTCGTAGTCTCGGGCAGCTTTTTTGGCCTCACCATAGGAGAGTTTCAGTAAATCCCTGCGGCAACGGAAGGAACAGAGCTTCTTAAATTGCAGAAAAATGTTCTTCTTGGATACTCGGGACAATTCATTCCGTGGCCTGGGGACAAAAGCATTGTTACTCAGCTGGGTCAGCAGAGGCAGGAGGGTGGAGGCAGGCAGGGCCCTCCCACACCTCACCCGTCCACCGTGCCCCTGGTGCCGTCCAGGATCTCTAGGTCGTAGCCATCAGCCAAACACCAGTTGACGCTCGTCTCTTTAGTCTTCCCGGACTGCCTCTTGGAATCATATACGCTGACCCGGCCCACCTAGAGTTCCAGAACCGAGGGAAAGAGCCGGTTTGGAGTGGGGACTCGAGACTCTTCCGTCTTCCCCTCTATTTAGGATGTGTTCAGCTGAGACCAAGAAGATGCTACACATGCTGACTACTCAATTCACATGAATTCCAGGGCTGGGGATTTGGCTCAGTGGTGCCACCGCCTGCCTCACGTGCGCAAGGTCCCGAGTTCAATCCCCAGTACCAAAAAAAAGAACAAAACAAAACAACAAAAAAAAACCCCCACACGAACTCCAGACAGAGGAGGGAAGAGTAAGTTCTTGGTGCATCAACAAAGGCCCCCTTGCCCACAGTGTACACTTTTGCTCGCCGATAGGGTTGCTTGAAAAAGAGAAAACAAGACAGGGTGAGAGCACCTTGGGGTGGTTGACAATAAAGGGGTATCGCAGTCCATCCTCAAAGGCACTCCCGTCTCTTGTCACACGACAGCAAATAGCACGGGTCAGATGCCCTTGGCTGAAAAGGTAACCTGGGTACAGAGAAAGAAATGTCCACGCCTGTGTCTGCACCAGACCCTCACAGGAGGCAGAAGCACACAGGCAGTCCCCAGGTGCAGAGCAGAGGTGCCAAGACAGAAGTGAACCCTTGCAGGAGGCACCTCCTGCCTGTGGCTCCATGGGACACAATCACATATTCAAGCACAACACACAGGGTTCCAGGTGAGGCCCAGTCTGGGGAGAGCAAGGAAGCAAAGACCCTGCCACTGTAGGTGCTGGTTTCCTCAGTGCACCCTGGGAAAGCACCTGGCTCACCTTCCTAACCCTCAGACCGGGCTCTCAGAACCCCTTCTGCAGACTGAGTCTCATCTGCTTACAAAGGGGAGGCTGCCTATCAACAGTTGGGGATCTGGGCCGGGAAGGGTAGGTGGATTCCGTTCCAAGCAGGCCCTTACCCAGCGTGACAGATTTGAGATACACAGGATGGAGGAAGTGGGTCAACAGCGCCCCCTGTAGGCCTAGCACGTTCCAGCGCAGGATCTTGTCACTGCACGACATGGTCCGGAGCCTCTCTCCAAGCCGAATGCCATCCCATGTAGGCACAATGTCACTGGACTCTACCGGGATTGTGCCCTCCCCTGCGGGAGAGACCTGGGTCAGAGCCAGAGACCCAAGGTTCAAACCACGCTGTGCCTGTGCAGGCCCCAGTCAGGCCCCAGTCCTCCTTCCATGCTTGCTGTCAGGACAGAAAGGGAATGGAGGGCCCTGGGGACAAGCAGGCCACCAGGAGAAGGGACAGCAGGAACCCGGGCCCAGGCCAGAAGGGCGGGTAGCTAGAGAGCCCCTGTGTGACAGGAAGGGTGGGCCGAGGCCACAGCAGGGTCCACCCTTCCAGGAAGGGCAGTAGCAACTGCGACAGGACAGGACGTTTGTGTTCTTATTCTTGTTTTTTAAACAGTACTGGCTTTACTGAGGTACATCTCCATACCATGCGATCCAGCTATCTAAAACATAACATTCAGTGATTTCTAGTATCTTCATAGTTGCGTGTCCATCACTACAATCAATTTCAGGACATTTTATCACCCCCAGAGCACCTTCTGCGACTCTCCGCCCCCCTCCGCCCCAGCCCGGGCAACTGACTTCCTGTCTGTATGGGTCTGCCTCTGGTGGGCACTCCACTTTTGTGACTGGCTCTTTTCCTTCAGCATGTTTCCAAGGGTCACCTAGCTGTACAAGAACACTTCGTGTCTTCCAGTGGCCACAGAGTGCCCCACATACGGGTGGACTGTGCCTGCGGATTCCTTCACTGGGCCGATGCTGCTGTGTGCGTTCCAGAGCTGGTCTCGCTAGGAGTGGGCTGCTGGGTCAGAAGTGTATACCTCGCTCAGTGGCGGCCAGCCTTGCAGAGACCCAGTGCCGCACCGCAACCCTAAACTCGCCTGTGTATCACAAAGCGCCAACACTGCAATGAACCCTGAATACCGAAGCTTTACTTTAGGAAAGACAACTCCTAGATTAGCATCCTTTATCTTAAAAGCAAAACAACACGTGCTGCAGGTTCCCCACCACTGCTTTAGGGTGCGCAGTGGGGGACAGTATGAGCCACAGCGGGGGTGTACTCAGAGGCTGCCGAGGTCTGCAGGCCGAATGGGGAGAGGGGACCGAGGGGCGGAGGGGGGTGGGGGTGCTGGGGGCACTGAGCC